TCCCCTCTCTCTCTCTCTCTCTCTCTCTCTCACTCTGTCCCTCTCGGGTCAAATTTAAATAAATAAATAAAGTTAAATAAAATAACAATTCTTTTTAAAAATACACCTAGTAGTTATAGCAATTATGAATTTATATGCAACCATCAATAAAATCTCAAAGGATGGAAAACAAAAATGGCCGGACTATGAAGAAGAAATGATCAAATACACAATTGTGGTGGGAATATTATATTGCTATCAAAAAAATAAAGAAACAAAGCTCAGGGACCAGCAGGTGGCGTGGTGGTTAAGGTGCTGGACATTCCCACATGGCCAACCATGGTTCAAGTCCTGGACCTGGCGGCTTGCTTTCTCACTTTCTCTCTCTCTCTATGTCTCTCTCTGGTCAAAATAAAAGAAATAAATGAATAAATAAAATTAAAAATAATTTTTAAAAAAGAAACAAAGCACATAAACTTTAGTAAAAATGTAGATTCAAGCAAGTCTAGTCCTTTTTTAAAAAAAAAAAGTTTTTGCCATGGTACACGTGTGCTTGACAGAGAGAGATAGAGACAGAGGGAAAGTAAGAAATCACCCCTTAGAGAGGATGGCCATGCCACAATCCTTTCTCTTCCATTCTCCTCTCAGGATTTTGGGCAGACTTACAAACATGCTCAACATCAGTTTCAAGCTACCAGGTCTAGGACTCACCGTTGGGTTGGCCATGTGGGAGTCCGGTGCCTTAACCACCATGCTATCTGCTGGCCCCAACAATCTTGTTCTAAACAGAACTACATCCCACAAAGAGAATTCACACTATTTGGCAAGGACACATGAAACAGGTACTTAAGCTGGTCATATAATAGGCCACTTTATAAATCTTTTCATTTTTTATTTATTTTTCTTTTTCTTGAAGAGGTTTTCGCTATAGGGTGCATGTGCTCGCCTGACAGACAGAGAGAGACAGAGAGACAGAAAGCGAGAAATCACCCCCCAGGGGGCATGGCCACGCCGCAATCCCTTCTCCTCCATTCTCCTCTCGGGATCTTGGGCATGCACGCACACGCGCCCGGCGTGAGTTTAAGCCACCAGGTCCGGGACGCGAACCACAGTCGACTACGTGGGAGTCCAGCGACATAGCTATGACGCTAACTGCTGGTCCTGGCCACTTTGTAAATCTTAACAAGCTCTGAAGAATTAATATCAAATTGGACACTTTGGGCCACAGTATATGAAAATGAAACACCAATACTCATTGACTTTCATAATTGAACTAAAAAGATGAGCAAAAACAAAAACATGCAGTTCCAAACCCCAAACCTGGGGGCCAGCGGCTGGTATAGCGGTTGACCGCTGGGCTCCCAGATGGCTGACCATAGTTCAAGTCCCAGATAGGGTGGTTTGAAACTCTCCTTGGGTTTGCACATGGATGTGCGTGCCCAAAAATCCCAAGAGGAGGATGGAGGAGAAGGGATTGTGGTGTGTGTCCATCCACCCTTGGGGAGTGATTTCTCACTTTCTGTCTCTCTGTCACACTCTGTCTCTCCAGTTAGCACATATGCCCATAGCAAAAATCGCTCTAAAAATAGATAGATAGATAGATAGATAGATAGATAGATAGATAGATAGATAAAATAACCGCAAACCCCACTTCTATATACTTTAAGGGGTTAGGTAAAGTTAAGAGCAGAGGGCCAGCAGGTGGCATGGTGGTTAGGGTGCTGGACTCCTACATGGCCAACAGTATTTTGAGCCCCAGACCTGGTGGTTTTGCTTTCTCATTTTCTCTCTCTTTCTCTGTCTCTTTCTGGTGAGCACACATGCCCTATAGCAAATTAAAATAATAAATAAAATTCAATTAAAATAATTATTTTTTAAAAAGAGTGGAATCTGTTACTAAACAAATAGTAAGAATGCTACAAACCAAACCTCGTGGGATGCAGCCAAAGCAGTGCTTATGGGTCAATTCCTAAATGTATGACAGTAGGCAATGAGAAAGGCAGAAAGACACCAGAAAAAATACTGAGGATGGAATTTTGACTGCTTTTCTAATTCCAAAGTTGTTCCCAGGGGGTCTGGGAGAGTCCCACCTCCAACAGTAACAGAAGCCTACGCACTTCAACACACCCTTTGGTCCTTTGATAATGGGGTGCCACATCTGTCCCTGGCATCCCTTTTATGATGCATAGTAAGCCTTCTGATCTCTTAGAGTAGAGCATATTCTTTTGCTGATTTCTTTCAGTAACAGAGACTTGTGTTTTTCTTGAACGCATGACTCATCTAAGAATCTCAATCTCGCCTATCACCTATAAGCCTCCGCTTCCAGATGTCCCACCTTTGGGGGCCAGGCCAATGTAAAGGACTCCTGCTGACTGACAGCTCTCCTGCTCTCAGAACTAGATGAAAGGAAGCTGCAACTCAGCACCCCACGGAACCAGCAGTTGGTGTAATGGCTATGTCGCTGGACTCCCATGTAGTCAACCATGGTTTGAGTCTCAGACCCGGTGACTTAAACTCATGCCGGGGCGCATGTGCGTGCGTGCACAAGATCCCGAGAGGAGCATGGAGGAGAAGGGAGTGCGGCGTGACCATCCTCCCTGGGGGGTGATTTCTCGCTTTCTGTCTCTCTCTGTCTGTTTGGCGAGCGCATGTGCCCTA